AGACATTGGATAACCCCTCCCAATGGTTTTGTGTATATGTTAAATATTACGGAGGATCAATTCAGAGCCCAGGGAGTCCCCACAGGCCAATGCCCATGACATCAGACAGATCTTGGAGATGGCTGGGAATGAATTTGTACAGCTAGAAATGGTGCACCAACTGCTTCCTTTCCTGGAATCTCTGATTTGCGCATGCTGAAACATGCCTTCATTACATCCCACTAGAATTAGTATAACACACCGTGTGGGGCTGCCTTAAAAGATGGCTTGGAATGCTGCAAAAAATACTGCGATAAGGCTACAGAGTGGGTTAAGTCACAGAAAGTGTACAAGTTCCATGTTAAAACATCTTCACTGGCTTACTGTCTGTTTTCAGTTCCAATTCAAAGTGCTCATTTTGACCTATAAATTCCTATATAGGTCCAGGCTATCTGAAGAACAAATTTAGAAGGTAGCGCTGAAGAATTTACTTTTTGCAGTCATATTGGCCTTTAACAATCTGTATCAACCTGAAGCACCTAAGTTGAATGACACTGTGCACATACATTGGTGGCAAAAGAATAATAATTTATGAGCTGTCAACACAGCTGTGAAATAAAGCATCAGACAGGCTTTAGCCCATGCTTGGTCAGTGTAATCCTGATCTTGATCATACTATCACACTCAAATAGAGGAGGAAGAACATAATTGAGGAAAGGGCTTCAGAGCCTGGAGAGAGAATACTCTGACGAGGTTTGAAAGTGATGCAGCACTACACCACTAAACTAAATACTGACAAAACCATGGTCTCTTTTGATGTCACATCCTTCTTCACCAACATTCCCACTCCTGATGTCCTAACAACTGTAAAAAGGAGACTGGAAAAAGACAGCACTCTCTCCACCAGAAGCAGCCTCAACCCAGCCCAGATATGCCTGTTCCTGAACCTTTGTCTGAAAAACACTTTCTTCACCTACAGAGGTGGACATCTGAGGACAGCCCTTAAGGCCTGTGGATATCCAAAATGGGCCTTTAACAAGGCAATGTTCTGACCCAGGAGGACAATGGAACAGTCTGAGACGCAGAGCCAACAGAAAAACCTGGTCATTCTTACATGCACGGTGTGTCTGAAGAGCTCAAAAGGATTTTTGGTAAGCACCACATACCCATGCACTTCAAACCCACAAATACACTAAGGCAGAGACTCGTCCACCCAAAAGACCGTCCACCAAAACACAACAGGATCAATATACTGTATGCAGTTCAATGCAAAGAGAAGTGTTCAGAGCTCTATGCTGGAGAAACCAAACAGCCACAAAACAGGAAAATGGCCCAGAATGGGAGAGGCAATGGCTCAGGACCACTATCAGCATTTTTCCTTCATTTGAAGGACAAAGGACCCTCATTTGATAACCAGGATGTACTCATTTTAGATGGAGAAGATAAATGGTTTGAGAGAGAGGGATCAGGGAGGCCATACATGTGCATATAGAAAATCCCTCACTCATCAGGGTAGAGGCCTTAGATACAATCTCTCCTGTTTACCATGCTGCCCTTTCATCTGTCCCCAGAAGGATTAAGGTCACAGACAAGAAAGATCACTATTAATGACCATCAACAACCCATGACAATGGGTAAAGAAGGACTGCAGAAATTGGATTATCCCTCATCCTCAGTCCTTGTACTGTACTTCTAAGGAGCCTATTCAGACCAGGGGGAAGTGAAACCAATGAGGAGAATGTATCAGGGATTTCCTATCAACACTTGGTAGGAACTGAAGAAGCTGCTTGGATGAGTAACAAAATGTTTCAACCTAACAAGAAAGAAGTCCAGTTGCCATGACTCAACTTCCAGATAATTACACCTGGATGACTGAGAATCTTCACAGATATATACCAGAACTGTTCCTCCATTCTCAACTGGTCTGCCTATTTGAAATTTGGGAGCTCAGAACCTTGTAAAGAATGTATTCTCTATGACCTAAAGGCCTATTCCATTTTTTCTGTTGATGACTAATTTAAGCGGAAATTCTGTTCTGTACATGCACCATCTCTGACACCCTCTCTCTAGATGTCGAGCTGGATAAACGCATTGGGAAAGCAGCTACCATGTTCTCTAGACTCACAAAGAGAGTCTGGCTCAATAAGAAACTGACAACACATACCAAGATCCAGGTCTATAGAGCCTGTGTCCTGAGCACACTCCTGTACTGCAGTGAGTCCTGGACACTTTGTGCCCGGCAGGAGAGGAAGCTGAACACCTTCCATATGCGTTGCCTCTGACGGATTTTTGGTATCACCTGGCAGGACAGAGTTCCAAATAGAGTAGTCCTAGAACGAGCTGGAATTTTCAGCATGCATACATTACTGAAACAGCGACGTCTACGCTGGCTTGGGCACGTTGTGAGAATGGCTGATGGTCCGATTCCAAAGGATCTCCTATATGGAGAATTAGTGCAGGGAAATCGCCCCAGAGGGAGACCACAGCTGCGATACAAGGATATCTGCAAGCGGGATCTGAAGGCCTTAGGAATAGACCTCAACAGATGGGAAACTCTGACATCTGATCGTTCAGCCTGGAGGCAGGCGGTACATCACGGCCTCTCCCAATTTGAAGAGACCCTTGTCCAGCAGGCCGAGGCAAAGAGGAAGTCACAAAGGAAGCAAAACCAGGGAGCTGGACAGGGGACGGATTGGATTTGTCTTCAGTGTGGAAGAGATTGTAACTCTCGAATTGGCCTCCTCAGCCACACTAGACGCTGTTCCAAGTCCTCCATACAGAGCACGCTACCATAGTCTTTCGAGACTGAAGGATGCCTACACTTATTATAGATCTTTGGCAGAATCATGATACCAATACATACAGTGACTGAATTGTCCCTCCCATAACAACAGTGGATCTTGGTTGTAGCTTCTCCCACTCCATACAAGCTGCATTTGTTTTAGCTTTAGGGAAATTTTATTGCCCTTTATTGTTGTTATGTGCTGTCTGACTTATGGCAACCCTATGCACAATCTCCAAAGTGTTGTGTCCTCAACTATCCTGCTCAGCTCTTGCAAACTCAAGCCTGTGGTTTCATCAACCCATCTTATATTTAGTCTCCCTCTTTCCCAGCATTATTATCTATTCTGTCTTCTTATGGTATGCCCAAAGTAGGACAGCTTCAATTACATTTACACATCTTTTTCAGTTTGTGGGATAGGATTGTCATGAGTGATGTATATCAACATCTTGGCATTGATTATAAGAATCTGTCAGTTCTGATATTTTTGATGCTCTTGGTTTCAAATCTAAGTGACATTTTAAAAAATTATTATTTTCCAGGGGCCGATTTAAAGCAGTGGTCTGCATCCTTTCAGGGGTTATGACTTGCCTTGCCTTTGTCAAACCAGCCATCAATAACATATCTCTGATGACATTAGGTCTTCCTTGCAGTGGGCTGCTCATTGCAGAACTTAAAAGGTGAGTACCTGTCTGTGATGAAGCAACTTTATTAGCTTATTATTACCCTTCAGAGGTTAACCAGAACATTTACCAGTTGTGGTAATGATAGATGAAAGGATGGGACTGTACCCTGAAGAAATAAGAATGCAACAAGTTTCCCAAAAGTGTAATGAAGCACTTTGTAATTAAATGATACGCCTCAAATACTTGCTGAGGTAGAGGGAATGTGTTAACAGTGCTAAATATGCTATCTGCCCATTTTATATTTGGTGTCACACCTGCAGTTGAAACTGATAGGAATGGAAGAGAGTGTACCTGATTGTATTGGCAAGTATATTCAAGCAGATTCAATGCATAGATCAGTGGCTCCCAATCTGGGGTACAAACCAGGACATTTGGGGATACACAAAAATAGCATTACAGTGGAAAAAGGGTAAGCAGAGAGAGGTGGAGTTGAGGTATTTGGACAAAATAAGTATGAGAGCGATTCCATGGCTGTGGGTAGGGTCTGTTCTTGATCATCCCTGAGTGCAGGACATCTAATGATGGGATCAAGTTACAGGAAGCCAGGTTTCAGCTGAATATTAAGAAAAACATCTTAATTGTTAGAGCACTACAATAATGGAACCAATTACTTTGGGAGGTGGTGAGCGCTCCAACACTGGAGAAAATTGGACAACCATCTGTCAGATCTGCTTTGATTTGGATTGCTGCATTGAGCAGAGGGTTAGACTTGATGGCCTTATAGGTCCCTTCTAACTTAATTATTCTATGATTCTATGAGACCAGGGTGGAGTTGGCATGGAAATGAAGAGGGGCTGGTGGAACAAGGCTTCTGTGAGTTACGCCATGCTAGTTACTTGGAGAAAGGAAAGAAGGGTGGTGGAGGAAGGATCCAGGTTGGGAGGTGCCCAGAATGTCTGCTACTTTGGGTTTTTTTTTGTGAATGGTGGGGCATACAGTTTATGGAAATAAGTTACTGATGAGTATGCAAGTCAAAAAAAGTTGGGAACCGTTGGCATGGATCAAATTTATTCAATGAAAGTATTGCCTGTTTTGATAACCTCCCATCTACTATGTTTCTTGTAGATGTGACAATGTGCGAGTGTACAAGCTGGGACTCCTTTCTGGTCTCTGGTGGATGTTGGCACTTTTTTGTTGGATTAGTGACAAAGCGTTTTGTGAGATCTGGTCATCATTCAATTTTCCATACTTGCACTGTTTATGGTGAGTCTTCTGCTTTGATCTTAAATATTCCCTTGCCCTCTCGCATTTCCCAACACCCTCCATTTTTGTATTCACACACATTTGCTTATGAGATGTGAACAGACTGAATATTTGCATGCTCTTCACATACAAGATTATAGTTTCAGTCCCTGGCATCTCCTTTTTTTTTAAAAAAAGGTGGAGGTCTGGAAAAGATTTTGGCTCTAGACTGCAGGAAATAGCAGGTAGCAGAGCTTGGGAGAGTTTTGGTCTGGGCTTGAACTCCTAAAGTTTCCTAGTGCTCTGAATTAAGGATTCTGGGAGTTATAAATGAAAACAAACTTTTCCAAACTCTGTGCCAATCACAGTAGGTCATCCAGGGTGCAACAGAAAAATGATCTTACTTGGAATAATTTAAATGCACTTTTGTATATTTAAAATCCAGACAACAGAAGACATTAAACTTTGCCTCTCACTATCCATATCCTCTCAAAAACATGTTCTCTGTGGATCCCTAGAACCAAAATAATAAACTAAACATGTCTGAGGGAAAAGGTAATCTAAATCTATTTGAGAACAATCAGGGGCGACGACGGGGAAGTTACTGAAGCTGTGCCTCTGTTCATTTGTTACTTGCCCAGCTATCAGTCTGATTAGAGACACTATCATCAAAACCTCTCTACCTGTTCTCAGTCTCTGCACATGGAGAGAGATAATCTGAAGAAACATAGGACAGTGAAGTATAAAGAGTGGTAGAATATACCAGATGGGCGGGATATAAATCGAACAAACAAACAAACAAATAAAGCCATCAAGTCCAACTCTCCTTGATGCAGGAATACTGTACAAGAAAAAGTCCTGTCAGGTGTAAACTCTACATGTGAATGAGTTCCTGGGGCTATTGCTTGTGTGTAGAGCAGGAAATTCTCCTTTTCAGACATATTGCTTTCCATGTGAAAAAAGTGATGAAAAAGAAAAGAGTTGCTAGTTGTTCCTCTTTAATTACATTGAAAGCAAATCTGATGTTAAGGGTACACAGGGTTTCATTATTATTTTCCCCTGTGATGACATGGGTCATAGAAGCCATAAGGTAATTTCTAAATGGGATTTGTAGTCATGGAATTAGCCAGAAGGAATCCATCTGAAGTTTGTTCATTTTACTAGAAGTCTCTAGATGTTGTTTTCCTTCACAGAAGTCAGTGTTCTTATCTAGTGTCCGGGATACGGAATTCTAAACATTCCATTCCTACTGAAGTCTAAACATTCCAGCAGCTAAACCTAGACAACACCTGTATTCCCATGAGATAGAAGGACAAAGAGAGATAACTTTTTCTTCTTCCTGATTGGCTATCGACGGGTGAGAAGAAGAAGGGGGGTTTTCCAGCACAGAAGAAAAATGCAGCATTGCAGAGAGAGAAGAGATCTTTTCGCCTCATGGATTTCTAAAGGGACTTTTTGCCTTATGGATTTTATGGACTATGGATTCTTAGATGGACTTTGGAGTTCCTGAAATTCTTTTAGGATGTAGTTCTTCAAGTAGTTAGAGGGGAAGCAATGCTTTTCCTAATTTTTCTTAGATAGCAATTTTATTGTTTTATTTTTCTGGCTGGAGTTTGTTAAATTTCTAACTGGGTAGTTATGGAAATGTTTCTGATTGCTTTGCTTTTGCAACAAACTGAATTCTTTTAAATCTTTATTTTTCTAATAAAACAAATATACCAAAGATCTTATGTTTGATCTCTTGAACAGACACAATCCTGCTACCAAACTTAATTTATTTCTTTCAGGCCACGGAACTATGCTGCCTTGAGTCCAATATTTTCTTGAGTACTGAGAGTTCTAAATGACTCTGAGACTCATGATTATATTTTGGTTTCTCAGTGATTTTGAATGGGAATAGACTTGGGAAAGGAGTGTAGTGTGTCTGCCTGGGATGAAACAAGGACTCATTTCATCTCACTTAGGAGAACACTAACTCCAGAACCTCTCTATTCCGAGCTGTCTGATTCTTTTAGGAGAACGGACAAGCTGACATCCCCTTCTCTCTCATCCCTAGTGGTAAGATACCTGGTACCTCTTCCAAAATTATTTGTGGTAGCAAAATGTTCTACTACAGTTTTCTTCCAGACTACTCAGAGAGCAATAAAATTAGCTCCCAGTAATATCGGCTTACAAACCACTAAAGCAGAAACAGGCCAAGTGTGGATTACCAAAGATCATAGAACTACAGTTCCCAGAATCCTTATTAATAGCTATGCTTGCTAAGGCTGATGGGAGTTTCAGTCCATCGACAACTGGAGGGCTACATATTCCATGTCCATTCCCTGGGATGTGATGTACATTCTTAAAAATCTGCACCCTGAAAAGAAGACAACAGGTGTGCATCTTGAGGTCCTAAATCAGTATCTCCGGAAAAGAAGTCTGCTTAGTCTCCTCCTCCTATTTATCTCCAAAGAGGTAGATAACCAAGCACATTATTATTAACAACTTCCACCGAGTTCATTTCCCAATATGTTATTCTTGAGTACTGTGATTCTCTCTTACTACTACAATGCATGCAAATGTTCCATCACTGTACCACTGGGTGGTAGGTATGTCCCATTCATTTTTTAAAATTTGGAATACAACTCCTAGAAATCCCCAGGGCAGAATTCTGGTAGTTCCAGCCCACAGAAACATCCCTATATACACCTATATTTTGCTCACCTGAATCAAGGCCTACAACTTGGAAGCTGAATGGCATTTAGGGCCTCGGTTCCTGAGGCAAAGCTATGTGGGTGGTAGCTGCTGCAATGCTTTCTGGGAGTAGTAGTCTCAGTGCCATTTAGCTTCTGACTAGTATTCCCAGAAAGCATTATGGCAGCCTCCTCCCAGGAAGCATTGCAGCAGAATCTGAGTCCTCCATGTCACTCAGCCTCCAAGAAGTAGGCTGGATTCAGGTGAGCAAATATAGGTATAGTTCTGTTGTTCAGAATTCTGTCCAGGGAATTCTAGGAGCATTCTGGGGGTTGCAGTTCGAAGAACCCAAATGGCACATCCCTGCTGGAGATACATAGCCCATTGGTAGAGCACATGTGTTGCATCCATAAGATTCTGTGTTCATCCCCAGTAAGGGTTTCATAGACTAGTTCTGGAAAGGGGAAACCTACTGTCATTCAAACTATATAGTTTTGGACTACATGAACCAATTATATATTTCAGTATGTGACATCTTTGTATGTTCATTTTCCAGTTGTTACATTGCAAAGTTTTAATTTTTTGTACCTCTCCATATTCTTCTATTCTATTCAACGTATTCATCTAAGTATGAGTCAGCTGTGCGCACATGCACACACATATATAAACACAGCTAAAATGTAACCGATACAGGAATCCTGCGTTCCTTTATTGATATGTATATCTCTGCCCAATAGGATATGTGCATTTGCTTTCCAAAATAGCAAGGAATAAAGTAACTATACTTTGGAGTAAGGTACAGCATTGGAGATCCAAGTTATTGATGTTGGGCTTACCTTTCATTTTTTGTTTTTCTTCTCCAATCTTCTTTGTAGGCACATTCTCATCTGCATTGCTGCCTACCTAGGCTGTGTCTGTTTTGCATACTTTGATGCAGTCTCTGAAATCCCCGAACAAGGTCCTGTTCTTAAATTCTGGCCAAGTGAGAAGTGGGCTTTCATTGGAGTTCCTTATGTCAGCCTCGTCTGTGCCTGCAAGAAATCACCCTTGAAGATCACGTGAAAAATGCTAATACGCAGAGCAAAGGCAATAGAACTAGATATCCTTTCTCTGGGACTGGTGTGATGGGAGCTGGTGTGGACCTTTTTCTATTTCTGACTCTCAAGCACAATTAGGTGCAAAGCAGTAAGACACTGCCTTTGTCTCCCAACTTTGGGACTCCCATACCTTTGTTTTGGTAACTTTGGAGCTTTTCTATTAAATAGCTAAGTTTGGTTTGTTTATCTAGCATTCTCCCAATGTTTTTTTTTCTCGCATACAACAGTATGTAATGGGCTATGAATGGATACTGTCAAAACAGCAAAGCTATTTCCTCTCATTGCTGGTCAGTTTAGTAGCATGAATATGTGATATGATCAAGCGCTCATCCTTGGCTGACTGTTGCTCATGAGGAGCAGAGAAACTCTGAATATGCTGGTGTTGTACTGTCCTAGTTTTGTTAGTATTATGGGAAGAGAAGAACTCATATCTCAGAATGTTGTATTTTAAGTGTGTGCATATGAATTCATTATTTTGTTTTGACATGGGTATAATAATGCAGTCAATGCATATATAAATATGAGTACTATTGTACTCATGTACATGTACATTGACTACATGTATGAATGTTTTTCCAACTTCTGTGGTCAGAGGTTTTTAGAGGGGGAATGGATGTACTGTATAAATAAATACTTGGGAAGATGGTTCTCCTCTCAGTTTGGTTACTTCTATGCACAGTTTTGAGACCCTTTTGACTACTGTTCTGCCAGATTTCTATACCTTGTCACCTTCCCCCACCAAGTCACTGCTCCTGTAATATTTAAGAGCAGCATAATCTCCAGACATTAGCAAGTGATAATGCTATGAAAACCTACTGATATCTGAATATCAAGCTATTGTTAAAGGGTTAGGAGCAGACCAAGCCAGTTTTGGTCAGTTGGAAGCCCTATTTGCTGGGCTAATTACTGTACCAGATGGCTACATGCAGTGGTGTAGTGTGGGTTCCCAGCATGCAGGGCAAGATAGGTATTGTGCCCCCTCAATGTCGCCTTGGGAAGAGACAGGGGAGGGGGCTCAGTACTGGCTGAGTTCCCTTCCTATACCACCCCCTCCCCGTGGCCTGCCCTCCTGCCTTGTTTACACCAGGAGAAGGAGTCCAGATTGCTCCGGGCTACCCTCTCCAAGGAGGCTGGTCCACTCAGGCACCAAACCCCTCCGCTGCCTGCCCAGAGGGAGAAACACAGTGAGCAAGGCAGCCACAGCCAGAAAAGAGGAAGCAAGATGTGGGGAGTAAGGGGAGGGGAGGCTCACACAATTTCTCACCTTCTGTGCACTCTGCCACACCCAGTGGCTCCATGATAGAGCTGAAATTCTTCACCCCTAAGAATTTTGCATCCAGGGGCAACCGTTCCTGTGCCCCCCTCCCCCAGCCACCAGAGCAGGAGTTGCTTCAAGAAATAAGGAAGAACAGAAATGTCTCTTTGAAGCCACAGAAAAACAAAGTTCCAAATACAGTGGTGCCTCGCTTAACGATTTTAATTGGTTCCAAAAAATTCATCGCTATGGGCAAACATCGCTAAGCGAAACGTATTTTCCCATAGAGATGCATTGAAAACCAGATAATCCATTCCAATGGGAACGGATTACCGTCCTTAAGTGAAAATCGCCATAGGAAACATCGCTAAGCGAAATGCGGTTCCCCCATTGGAATGCATTGAAACCTTTTCAGTGCATTTCAATGGGGGAGAAAAAAAATCACCAAAAATTCAAAAAGAGTCAGAATGAAGCCAAATTTGGTTAACAAACGATTTATTAAGTGCATTAACGCTTTCAAGCACTCTAAACCCTTTTAAAACAATTTAACACCTTTTAAAAATAGCAAAAACGGAGCTGTCAAAAACATCACTAAGCGAAACAAGGGGGACCTAAACTGTCATCACTAAGCAAAGCAAGGTCCCGAACATCGCTTTGCAAAATTTCCCCATTGGAAACATCGCTAAACAGAGCGCAAGATCGCTCCTAAAACCTCATTGCTAAGCGAATACATCGTTAAATGAGGCAATCGCTAAGCGAGGCACCACTGTATATTGATCCACTCAAGCAGGAGATCCACAATATGAAGGAAACAGCTCCAGATATATAGCCTTTAACGCCCTAAAATAAATTATAAACACAAATACAAATACACATACATAAGTTCACTACATGGATTCAGCCATCCCAGGCACCTTTCCCACCCATTGGGCTGAACCAAAAAGTCCACAGCAGATCAGTTCTTTCTCAGTCGAGCTTGAATTGTGGACATTTCTTACTCTATATATTGAAAAAGGTTTTGCTGCAAAACCTTTTACTATATAGCACTTTGCTTGCATGGGAAATTGCTGCTGCAGCCTTAGAGTTACTTCACTGCTAGGCATCTCCTTTCTGGTGGGTGGGGATGTTACATTTCAGTCTCACAGCCTGTGCTATTTCTTGTTTACATCTTGAAGTGACTTCTGATGAAAGTGAAAGAAGAACTTGCCAAAGCACAACTGCAGTTGAACATTAAGAAGACAAAAAAATCTTCAGATTTCAGATGTAACAGAAATTGTTAAAGATTCTGTATATCTTGGCTCAGTCATCAATCCATATGGAAACTGCAGCCAAGAAATCAGAAGAAGATTGAGACTTGGAAGGGCAGCAATGAAGGAATTCTAAAAGATCTTCAACTACAAGGATGTGTCACTAAAGACCAAGACCAAGATCATCCACCTTATTATATTTCAACTTTGTGTGTGTGAATATGGAAGCTGGGCAGTGGAGGAAGCTGACAGGAAGAAAATGATTAAAATGTGCTGGAGAAGAGCTTTGTGGATACCCTGGACCAACAGAAAGACAAACAAGTAGATCATATGTCTAATCCAGCCTGAACTACCTCTGGAAGCAAAAATTTTGACACCGAGACTATCCTGCATTGGGCACATGAGAAGGCAGGATTCTCTGAAAAATACACTAATACTGTACTGAGAAAGGTGGAAGGCAGTAGGAAAAGAGAAAGACCAAATATGATTTGGACTGACCCTGCAGGTGCGCACGTGCTCTCGGGTGCATGCGATGGGGGAGCGCCCGCCCCTTCACACATGCACAGGGGCGCCTGCAGGCCCACCTGCGTGCCCTCCCACCACTTCACTCGGACACTCAGGCGCATGCGTGAAGGGGTAGGGGAGCGCTCACGCTGGTGCTGGCACGCACACATGTGCACAAAGTAGCTGTGGGGAGGGGAGTGTGTGGGGGGTCTGTCTTCGCAACCTGGTCTGGCTTAGGCCACAGACCGGCACTGGGCCATGCAGCGGGTGTTGAGGACCTCTGGAGTACAGGACATTTATAGGGTCTCCATAAGTCAGGACAACTTGACAGCACATAACAGCAGGGTCAGTCTCTCTCATGTTAAGGCTTTCTCTCTTTCTGATGTCACCAGCTTTTTCTTCTTCTCTAGCAATGTGTCTAAAGTATAACAGCCTCTGTGTAATCATTTTTGCTTCTAGACAAAGCTCCGAATTTATTTTGCGTACAAAGCTTTTTGGGAAACAGCCACATAGAACCAGGAGAAATTTGGAACAAAATTTTTCCTAGAATTATTGTCTTGCTGAGCTAGTCCTTTTTTTTCTTCTTCTGATGGGTTCTGCTGCTATACGGTTTTATTTAGGAATTTAGGAATAAGCACCCCTTTGTGGTTTGAAACAGTAACAGGTGTGGAAAGAAAGAAAATAAACTTCATACCCCGGAGTGCCAGGTTCCAATGAGCAACTCTTTTCAAATGGGAAGCCTGTTCCCAAGACCAGTCGCTGCTCTGCTAGGCTGAGGTCTGGACCTCAAGTCTTGGTGCGAACTCAATGCAGAGTTGGGCATCATTCCTTTTTTAGACGACAGCTCCTGCTTCTTGGGGGATTCTAAGAGTTTTCCTGTCACCACTTCCTTTCTGGAGAAGTGTTTACCCTTCCACACTGCCCTCCTCTTTGACTTTAACTTAGGATACTTTTAAAGGAGATTGGGGGGGGCTTGGTTTCCCATCCTTTGGGGCAGCACGAAGGAGAGATTCCCCATCACCCTCCCCCCAAATTAGCAGCATGGTTCCCTGGCAAGCCTGGCCTTTTTAAATGGGAAACTGCCTCATGAAGGGGACTCTAAAAGAGGGAAAGGTATAGAAGTCTTGGGAGGTGGGTGGAAGGATTGCTTTGCATTGGGTCTCATCCATGCAGGTAGAAGAACGAAGATCCCTGAAGGAACAGTGTTGGATCTGGTTTTCCCCTTCCCCTTTTAGCCCTACAAAGCTTAACCCTATCTTGGCCACCACAGCATTCCCTAATTTGAGCCTCAGGTGAAATACGGGAGGGGGGGTTGAGCAACTTTTCTCCTTCCTGCCTTTCTTTCCCACTTCCTGTTTCAATGGATCCCAGCTCTGCTGGTGCGGGCAGAACCTTTCTTCATCCACTTTATGCTGGATGAAGAGTGTTCAGAAGGGATGCCTTAAACTTCTTTGTGCCTTGGTTGGTGAGTGCCTGCTGGAACTTGGGAGACAGTCTTCCTTTCTCATATTGATTCTCTTCTTTTGCCGGATCTGGTGCCCGTCTGCCTGCCTTCCCTCTTTCCTGAGTCTTGCTCCTGCACTGTCCTCTCCTTGACCAGGGCAGCTGCTTTGCCAACGCCCCTCCGTTCTCCAGGGTCCTCCCAGTACCAACAACTGCAAAAGCAGTCTCTCTGGAGTTGGCAAGGCAAATCTCTTCAGTCCCCGGCAGGCCCTGAGCTAGCAAGCGTTCCAAACCCCACTGCAGAGGCCACACAGCTCAGGGCAGCCAGGCTGCAGGAGAGGCACGAGAAGGGAGGGCCTCAGATCCCTCTAGCCTCCGCTCTCCGAGAGGCTGCTACAGGATGCGCTTTCCTGGGTCTCCATTTTTCCCCTCCCATGGGTAATGGTGCCGCTGCTGCAGATGCCGCCTCCAAGTTGGCTGTGGCAGCAGCATAGAGCCTGGGGGGATTGCCCTTTTCCTGGCCCTCTTCCTCCTCAGGGGCGGGCCCCAGACACAAAAGCCACAGGAGGGGCCTCTTTCCAGACCAGAACCTCCTCCCCCTCTGCAAGGCCTGGTGATGAAAAGGGGAAGGGGGAGGCTGAGGTACTTCCCCTTCCCCTCAATGCTGCCCTCAAGGGAGCCCAAGCCTCTCCCTCCTGGAGCCACTTCTCAAACTCAATGGCCACCCGCATCGTGGCCTGCCTGGTGGGCCCAATGCCCCTGGTGTCTCGAACCACCAAGAGGGGGAAGAGGAGTGTGAGGAGCAGCTGCAGGAGTGCACTGGACCCCTATGAATCTGGCGCCCAGGGTCACTACCCCTGTCACCTCCTACACACTACGCCACTGGATACATGAGTATTATACCTCTTGGTAGAACATCACCTGTACCTACCTATACAGAGGGGAAGTTGAAGTGGCTTTCACTTATTATCCTATGTTCTTTACTGGTGTATTTGTGCAATTTATGGCAGTCTTGAACTTGTTCTGATTCATGGTTACTACTGGATTATACTGCGTTTACTCAGGATTGTGCAGAGAAAAGAGGGAGTTCCTTTGGGCCTTAGAATATTTCTTCTTGGTGGTTCTTCATGATAGTTGTGACCAAAGTTCACAGATATTATTGTTGGCACATTATTGTTTCCCCTCTGGAAATTCCTG